AAGCAGCCGTGAGGTGTGGTCTCCATCCTTGGCAACTCCAGACCAGCAAGGGAGACAGACATTACTGCAAACGTCACATTGATGAAAGTACAATGATAAACCTTATATGAGGGCTCCAGCGGGACCCAGACCACGGCAGGCAAGGAGAAACTACAGAAGATACACCCTTGAGCTGAGATCTGGTAAGGGGGCGGGGACAGGAAGTTGACTTGGTAAAAAGGACAGGGAACAGCATCTCAGATGGAACAGCATGGTAGAAGTCTTGTGGTAGGAGAGAACATAGGCATTTAGGATCCCAAAGGCTTCCAGTGGAGCAGGAGCCCAGAGGTAGAGGGGGAGTTCAAGGGGGCCAGTGGATAGCTCTTACTAGGGGCTGGTAAACAAACTGGAATATACAGGCAACGGCCCAAGAAGATCGCCGGTCAGGATCCACAGGCCCAGAGTTCTAGCCCCAGCACTGTACTGACTCCGTGTGTGACCTTGAACCAGACACGTTCTATCTCTGGGCCTTCATGACAAGTCACTGATGCCCTTGCTGACTGTAGTCAGATCCTTGGCTGCCAGGACTGTGCCCTAGTTGTCCCCACTGCCTAGAGGCTCTGCCCCTCTCCTGCATGTGCACCACTCAGGCCACAGTGTAGCTGTCACCCCACCCGCATGTCCACCATCCAGGCCACAGTGAGGATGTCACCTCTTCCAGGAGCTCCCTGACCAGCCACATCACCCGCATCTCCCTCCACGTCACACTTGCTTTGTTTTTACGGAGCTCTCACTACAATCTCAGAGGCTCTGTGGCTTGTCTCTCGTCCATCTGCCCCTTGGCCAGGAGCTCTGTGCCTGCAGGGAGTCAGCAAAGCACCAGCCAGTCTCCGGAGGCTGAGGGGTGATGTGGGAAGATGCTCCTGACCTGGAGCCTAAGGAACCTCAACTTGAACTTTGCCCTGTTCCGCTCCCGATTGGCTCGGAGAACGTGGGCTGGTCGTGCCAAGCCTCAATCTTCTCTTCTGCAAAGTGGGTCAGAACCATCCCAGAGGGCTGTGGAGACACTGTTTTTGTTGTCACTGTCAGGTGCCCTCAAGTCGTTTCTGACTCATAGCGATCCCATGGCAACAGAACCAAACACTGCCTGGTCCTGCACCAGCCTCGTGAGCCTTGCTATCCCTGAGGCCATCATGGCAGCCACTGTGCCAGCTCATCTCATCAAGGGCCTCTCCCTTTTCCGTTGACCCTCTTCTTCACCAGGCATGATGTCCTCCTTCTCCAGAGACTGGTCCCTCCTGACATGTCCAAAGTATGTGAGACAAAGTGTCGCCATCCTCGCCTCTAAGGAGCATTCTGGCTGTACTTCTTCCAGGACAGATTTGTCCATTCCTCTGGCAGTCCATGGTATATTCCGTAGTCTTTGCCAACACCATAAGTCACAGGCATCAACTCTTCCATGACCTCCCTTATTCACTGCCCAGCTCTCACATGCGTATGAGACAATTGAAGATACCATGGCTTGGGTCAGGCACACCTTAGTCCTCAAAGTAACATCTTTGTCCTTTGAGATTAGAAGAGAAAATGCATGCATAGCACCACCCGGTGTTGGGCCCAGGTGGTCACTCAGCAGAGATTGGGAGTCTTCTTCGGCCCAGCCCTCCCTGCATAGTCACTTGTCTTCCCCCACCTTTGTCTTCTCCCTGCCACTTCCTGTTTTGTGGTGGCTTCCTTCAGTGTCTTGGGGGCAGAAGGGGAAAAAAAATTAATAAATAAATTCCCACCAAATCCTGGTTCATAGGGAATCAGAGGGTTCTAATATTTGCACTTCATAGGAGACACCTGCAGGGGGCAGTGCTTATCCCACTTGGGAGAGATTGGGGTCTACTCAGCCTCTGGCCAGCCCTGATTCCAGCTGCCTTTACCTACACCACTCACTCCACACCCTGAGCCCAGGCTGGGCCTCTTCCCACAAGAACTAGGTTCCAGGTGGGGAGGGGAGAAGGTCAGGGAGGGAGGGAGGCTCCTAGGTGAGGTCCCCACACCCATTCTCAGGCTCTAACAGTAAGGGCAGGGAGACCATCCACGTCCTCAGAAGAGCCATCCTAGAACATCAAGCTAGCCCTTAGAGATCTGGAGGGAGCTCAGGAGGTGCATGGAGAGAGAAACAGAGACAGAGACAGAGAGGTGCCGTTTAGAGACTCAGAGCTAGGACTAGACAGGACCCTGCCAACCCATGCCATGTTCCATCCACCTAGTCAACAAGCATCCCCTAAGTCCCCACACTGGAAGTCCTTTAAGGCTTCCTGGAAGTCCTTTAAGGCTTCCTAGTCTCTTCAGGGACCCTTCTCCTCCTCTCTTCCCCATTGAAATGTGCCTATGTGCCCCATTGGGATCTGCTAGCCATGGGGCTGGAGAACACGACCCCCAAGAAGAGCAGCAGAGGTGGCCTGGGGTCAGGAGGGCCTTTCTGCTCCTCCCAGAATGGCCCACATGGGGCTCCTCTCCACCCCTGAAGCCCTGAGGCCAAGTCCTGCTCCCACCTCACTCCCAACCACAGGAAGGGAGGGAGACCAGGGACTGACCAGCTGCTTCCATTGGTCTTTCCTGGTCAGCTGCCATCTCAGGATGTCATTGGCCTGTAGGTGTCCCTCCTAGGGAGAGATTTTGGGTATCGGGAGGGAGTCCAATTTTCTGGGGGCCCAGATGGAACCCCTAAGCCCCCGCGTCCCTTCAGAAAGCAGTTTCGAGTACATACCACGTGGCAGGCACTATCCTAGCCCTGTCCGAGGTGGGGGCTGCTATGATTGGTCCATTTCACAGATTAGAATACTGAGGCTCAGAACAGTGAATCATTTGCCCAAGGTCACTCAGACAGATGGAATGGGGCTGAGCTGGGACTGTGCCTAAGGCATTTGATTACTAACCAGACAGTTGGCGATTCAAATCCACCAGCTACTTCGCGGAAGGAAGATAGGGCAATCTACTTCCATAAAGATTTACTGCCTCGAAAACCCAATGGGAGTCACTATGAGTCTGAACCGACTTGGGAGCTCTGGTGGCATGGTACCTAAGGCATTTGACTGCTAATCAGAAGGTTGCTGGTTCAAACCTACCAGTCGCTCCACAAGATGGGGTGATCTACTTCCGTAATGATTTACCGCCTTGGAAACCCAAAACCCAGTGGTTGTCATTATGAGTTGAAATCTACACGATGGCAGTGAGTTTGGTTTTTGAGTTGTGTCTCCCTCCCCTGGGAGCTCTACTGCTCTGCATACACAGCCCAGTTTCCTATCTCTGTGTGCCCGGGAGGATTTGCAGTATACTGGTGGCTGAGGTGTGGCTATTAGCTCATGGATCAATTCATCCCACAAATGCTTAAGGCACTTGCTGTGCTCTGGCCCGATGCACCCTCGTCCCTCCAGGGTAACACATGAGCATATACACTCATGAGTATATAGTGACACACAAGCACACGTCTACACTTGCACACACGGACATACATACAGAGACACACCCAGATACACACACATAGAATATTCACAGACACTCACAGACACCCACACCCAGGCTTCAAGTTGAGGCAGGAGAGATACACATCAAAACACACACACACACACACACTCCTCCAGCCACACACCCACAACACCCACGTGCAACCCACACACACCAGCCTTCCTCCTCCCTCTCGCTCCCTAACCCTGACACTCCATGACCTCAAAGACTCAGGCGTACCCCATTCAGACCTAAGAACGCCTTGTCTGTGTACGAGACGCCCCCCACACACACACAGACAGAGTCCTGAGCCACTGGGGCATATGGCTTCCCTTCCTGGGCAGGGAAATGTTGTTCAGCCCAGTATCCAGGTCTTGGACACTTGCAGCCTTGCCACCAGGGACCCCCAAGTCCCCTCCCATCCCAAGTCCTCTCCCACATGGCAAAAGAAAGACACATTTACTGTTAAATACATACACGTTTTAAATACATGTTGGCACAATATTAACATTAAATACACATCATAAATAAGCTTTATAAATACAAAACTGATTTTTAAAAAACTGGTAAAAATTGATAAATTAGTCATGCCCACCGGGGAACTGGCCCAGCAGCTGCTGGGCCCGCCTCCAGGACGGCAGTGGTTTCAGCATGAGGAAGTTCCATTACACGCCACCAGGGGGAGCAGCGGCGGCCAGCGCCCAACTCTAGGAGCTTCTGGACGCTGGGAGGCCTCCTTTTACCAAGAGAACTCAAGCCCGCTAAGCCATTTGCACCGTGTGTTCTGATTTACAGACAGAATTTGACATTCACCATATGTTACTGAGTCTCAGCAGCTGACAGGCAGAGGGTCTTGACCCCCTTGCTTCACAAAGAGAAAACAGGTCCAGAGAAGTAAAGTGGCTGGCCCAAAGTCACACAGCGAGTTAGGGGCTAAGCTTCGGGTGCCTCGATCAGTCCTGTTTCTAGGACACCCTGCCCCACCCACTACAGCTGCCTAAAGTGAGGTCCCTTAGACGTTCAGGTGACTGGCCTGAGCCTGGTAATGAGGCAAAGGAGGACAGCTTAGGCGCAGACACACACACACACACACACACACACACACACACTGCCCCAGAACCACAACATCAGGGAAAGGAGGAAGTCTGGGGGCAATGGCCCTGTAAGTCATGGAAGGAAGGGCCTCTGGACTCCGGTGACTGGGGTAGGGGGGCAGTCAGCCCAGCTGTGAGTCAGTCTGTGTCATCAGACCCCTGAATCAATGGGAAAGTCTCCTCCACGTGGCCTGACCCAGCCACCCCCACCCCCACCGCCGCCACCGCCGCGCGGAACTCAGGGCTGGGGGCCCCAAGGCCTGACCCCCCCCCCCCCCCCAGTCCAGAGGAAGTAAAGCCGACCTGCTCAGCTGCCACCCCTTAAAGTGCACTTTGGAGTAGCGGATAATCGAGGGGTGCAGGTTTGGAGACCCCGGCACTGGCTCCTCCCATCCATGCAGCATCCTCCGCCTTCGAGGGGCACTCCACAGGTTACCGGGGAAGCAGTCTCCTGAGCACAGGCCTCTTGGCCTTCCTGGAGGGCCTTGTCCCGTGAGGCTGTCCCCGCAGGGCGGGTCTCATCCTGCGAGCACGTCCCCGCAGGGCCCAGCAGGGGCTGTGTCTCCGGTTCCGCCTCGGCGGCTCCGCCCACTTGCCGGAGACGTGTGCCACCGAGCTCATGAAGTGATGGAAACCTTGCAGAAACTTGCAGCCGTCCAACTTGACCTGAAAGCTGTCTTGAGAGAGGGTGGGCGGAGGCAAAGCCCCCGGGTCGACCCGAGGGGTGGCGGCCGTCTCTGAGGAGCCGTTGAGGAGCCGGGTCAGGGAGACGATATTGTTTCTGATTCCGAGGAGGTAGCGCTCTGCAAAGCACAGCTCCTTCCAGTCCTGGCTCTCAGTGGTGAGATGGGCTGCCTGCTGGCAGGCAGCCAGTCTGTGCAGGACGAGGCTCACCGTGGCGTTCAGGGTTTGCAGGAAGCCCTGTTTGCTGAGTTTCTGCAAGGCCTCCACGCCGGGGAAGGCCCCTGGGCGCTCCTTGCAGGCCCCTTTAAGGTCCAGGTTGTCCAAGCCTTGGATTCGCATCTGGGGGAAAGGAGAGTCAAGGAGTGAGTTCTGGAGTCCCCACCCCACATACACACACAGCGGACTATCGGGTCCTCTCATTGCCCAGATCCAGAGAAAGATCCAAGAGGGGTCTCTCTGAATGAAATAAGTTTGAGTCCACACTGATTTTAAAAAAGAAAAGAAAAGAAAGGCAAAAATGCCACCTAGTACATGTAGACTCTCCCAGGTCCTGCAGGGCCAGGGTAGTGACCGCATGGAATGAATGTGGTGCAGGGGTGACCTTGAGCTTCATGAGAGAAGGCACCTCTGGTTGGCTCAGTGCTGCCTATAGTTCCCAGAACAGAGCCCATGGAGGGTGCGCAATGACTTTGTGCTGGAAAACACGTGCAAGAGGTGGTGGGCATGGCACTCACTCTCCCGTCGACCAAGGATGGCCCGGGAACAGCACAAGGCCTCAATTTCCCTACCCTGCCCGTACTGAGTGTGTTGGACCGGTGTGGAGGGCGCCTGAGCCTGCCAGCACTCACTCCTGCCCCACCCCCTCAGGTCGCTGGGTCTCAGACACCACCAGGGGGCAGGCAGGTGCTCACATAGGGCTCCAGGAGCTTGCTGGTGTCTTTCAGGATCCTGGCCTGCTGCTGCAGCTGGTAGAAGGCTTTGTACTCGCTGGGGCCGACTCCTATGGCCTCCGTGCACAGCAACAGGAGTCCAAGGACCAGACCTGGGACAGAGAAGCGGTGTCACCTGCTTCGGCGAGGAAGCCACAGTTGGAATCTTGGGGCAGCTTTTAGAGGGAAGGGGGTCAGGGGGCCTACCCTTCCATCCCAGGCTTGTGCCCTAGAGGGCTGGGCCCTGTGCGGTGTGGCTTGTACATAAACACCCACAAGGGCCACCACCACCTCCCCAGTGACTCCCTGCCCAGGACAGTGGCTGTGACCTGCCAAGGAGGCCTTTGAGGGGACGTTATGGAGCCCACGGGTGTTCTTGTGCCCACCAGTCATACTTCAGCACCAACTGACCTCAGGCACCTACTGACCCTGGGCTAATAAGGGATGCCACTGCTCCGGGACCCTGCCTTGTCAGAGCCCGGGGCCCCAGGAACGGACCCGGCCCTCAATGCCAGGGCACAACGGGGCTTCAGGTTGGCAGCCTGGGAAGAGCCTGGTACCTGAGCTGTGTGTGTGGAACCATTTGGATATTAAAGATCAGCTGTCCGTGGCTCTACTTCACAGAGGGGGCTGCCCACTCTCCCAGCCCTTCCCTCTTCTCTCTCCACTCTGTCAGGCCCACTGGGAATGCTGGAGCCCCTCAGAACGTTCCAGGGGATGGCCATAGTTACGGCTCAGCTACCCTCCGTCCCCACACCAGGCACCGGCAGCCACGTGGCCTGAAGGGGGCTGTGTTGCAAGGGCCCGGAAGGCAGTGACACCGCGGTCCCTTCCTGAGAACTACTCGGTCCTCCGGGCAGGCTGCCTGTTGGGGCTTCAAGAGGCTGGGCTCCCCGGCACAGCCACCACAGTGGACCCCAGGCTACCTCCCAAGGTGCCTGCTGCCTGCCGCCAGTGGGAAGGTCCGTGGGTGCCATGTGGGACCATGGGTCTGTGTCAGGTGCACCGTGGCAGCTGTCCCCATCGCTGTGGGACGCTGTGAACGGTGGGGCCAGGCCTGCATGTGGGGTTCCTGGGTTGGTGAGGTTGAGGCTCTGGGTGATGTCACGTTGCCATGTGGGCGTGGCTATATGTGCTGTGTGATTGTATAGGCTCCCGGGCCCAGGCCTGGCTGATCGTCTCTAAATCGAGGTGCCATTCATCTGCTCAGAGGAAGCCCCAAGGCCCCCCCAGAACTGCAGCTTTTTCTTGTTTCTGTAGCTTCCTTCTCTACCCACTACACTTCCCGCCTCCTGCTTTCCTGCCTTGTCCACCACTCACCCTTCTGTGCTCACTGGCTGCTACAATTGCCTCTGCATCACCTCCTCCTGGAAGCCTTCCCAGTGCTCTGTCTCAACTCTGTGGGCACCTGCTTCTCAGTGGGCCTCTGTCTTGGCCTGACCCCCTGCCTTTCTCCCTCCTCAGCATCCTTCTGCCATGCCCCCCCAGATCCCGGAGGACAGAGGGTACCTCTCTGCTCCCCACCAGCGCCAGTGGGCACAGAAGCGCGTGCTGCCGGGGAGGAAGGAAGAACTCACCGAGCTGCGTCCTCTGTGTGAGCTGTACCCACATGCTGGGTGCCCGAGCTCTCGCCCGCGCCGGCTGGGGGTGTCAGCACCCGCCTGGGAGTCCTGCGGGCCGGCCGCCACTTTATGCCCGCCCGGGCGATTGGCCAACACCTCGTGAGGTGGGGGGGGGAGGGGGGGAAGGCAGGCCTTCTGGGAACATGACCCCAAAAACCAAAGTCTCCACAGGCGGCCAATGGGCGCTGGGCGCGGTCCCTGCCCGCTCCTCCTCCTGTTTTCTTCGAATTTGTTCTTCGAGGTCAACCCCACGCCCAAGGATGATGCAAACTGCAGCCTGAGTCTTCCCATGAGCGGGGAGCCCGGGGTTCCCCACCACCTGCAGGGGGATGGGCCCAGGACAGGGGAGAGTCTGCGAGCCAGGCCCCAGTTGGGTCGGCCCAAGGGCCATGGCCTCTAGGACACTGTGGTCTGAGGCTGAGGGCAGTAAGACATCTTCCTTCTTGAAAGCCCTCCCGCCCTCCTGCCAGGGCTGTTGGGACATCTGTGAGCGGAAACCACTAGACACTGGGCACAGAGCCAGACTCCGACTGGCAGCCCCGCGATCATGATCTGGCCCCCCAAGCTCGAATCCTCCAGCTCGGCGGTCTCCTCTCTCCCCCAGTGCATCCCCCGTCCTCCCAGCCGGCCTTCCCACCCCTCTTCAACAGACGGATCATCTAAGGAGAAGCGCACATTGGGGAACAAGAACAGGAGACGTGCTGACATGCTGTGTGACCTGGGGCAAGTCACTTAACATCTCTGGGCCTGAGAGACTCCACCTGTAATAGGGAAGAGAGAAAGTATTTCCCGACCCACCTTACAAGGGCCACCGCTGTCATGGACATAAAAGGCAAAGGACCATGAAAGGAAAGGAAGAGATGGGAGTCTAATTCCAAGTATTGGCTTTCGGGGGGCGGGGTTGGGGGCGGAGGAGACGGAGAAACTGTGAGCTCAGAGGGGAAGCCGGGGGAGGGAAGCGGAGTCGAGTGGTGGCTGTGGTGACGGTTGAGGGCCAGGTTTCACTTTCTCTGAAAGATAGTGATTGTGGGGTGGCCGTGGCTTCTCGCAGACCTCGGAGTGTCAGTGTGAAGGGGCCCCCAGAGACAGCGCCTCCCTCATCAACCTGCTACTCGGCCGAGGAGTAAACTGAGGCCTAGGCAGAAGCAGACAGGAGACAGAGGGACAGCTGGCACAGCCACCGGTTCCAGAATAGAGTCCTTGTCCTGCATCCTCAGGACCTTGGCTGGGGGAGGCCTGGGGGATCAGCCAGGAAGCCTGAGCTGCCCTGTTTGGGGGGCATTGGGCCTGCAGAGCCTGGACTAAAAGACTAAGGTAGCCAGAAAAGATGAGGGCTGGAAGCTTTCCTGCCCACCCCAGGCCCTGGCGCCCTTCATGACCACCAAGGCTGTGCCCAGCACACCATCACTCACACACTCAGTCAACAAACTCTTCTGGGGCCCCCCTTGGTTGCCACTCCTACGTGCTAACCATCCATCAGTCTCCCAAGAAGAGGCACCCCACTTCCCCAAGGCTGCCTTCACTCCACCCAATCTCCCTATCACCCCAGCATGGCGTCCCCACTCCAGGCCCAATCCACCCCCCACCCCCACCCCCACAGGCCAGTCTGGATCCTCAACCCAAGAGTACTACTTCTGCTGAATTCCTCATCTCGGAGAGGCCCCCACCCCCACAGCACCCTTTCTTGGGGTTTCTGTGAAGCCCGAATCCTTCTCCATTTCACATCCCCACTCTTCTCCACATCCTGTCTGGGCTCATCCCACTGAGGACGTGGCGCGTGGAGAAGCTCCGGGCTGCTCAAAACAGCCGAGCAGGGAAGCCTCTAGTCCCTCGACAGAGTAGGGCAGCCAGGCGGAACGTGCAGGGCTCCTGAAAACCAGGGCACCTCAGTCTGCCTTCCGCCAAGTCAGAGACAGACTCGGCCTCCCCTGCTTTGGACTGAATGCACAGAAATTCCAGGCAGGTGGAAGGTTGTTAGCACTGTCACTTTCCACGCAGCAGACCTGGGTTCAATTCTCAGCCAATGCACTGCCACCACCCGTCTGTCAGTGGAGGTTTTGCGTTGCTGTGGTAAGCAGGTTTCTTTCTTCCTTCCTTTCTAGTTTTTTTTTTTTTTTTGCCTTAACAAACAAATTTACTTTCTCAGTTAGAAAACCGTTGGCGTTAGATGCCATCAAGTTGGCTCTGACTCATAGCGACCCAGTGTACAACAGAATGAGACACTGTCCGGTCCTGGGCCAGCCCCACAATCCGTGTTAATAACTGAACCCATTGATGCAGCCACTGGGTCAAGCCATCTCATTAAGGGCCTTTCCTTCCCCTTTTTGGCTGACCCTCCACTTTACCAGGTCTGTGCACATTTCGTTATAATAATTGACTTTGTCTTCTCGAGCTGCTCTTTGAAATCTTCTGTTCAGCTCTTTTATTTTGTCATTTCTTCTATTTGCTTTAGCTACTCTCTGTTCAGGGGCAAGTTTCAGAGTCTCTTCTGACATCCACTTTACCAAGCATGATATCCTTCTCCGGGGAATGGTCCATTCCGACAACATGACCAAACTGGGTGAGACGAAGCCTGGCCGTTCTCGCTGCCGAGGAGTGTCCCTGCTGCACCTCCTTCACGACAGATCTGTCCATTGAACAAGTTCTGAAGAGCTTCTGGAGTAAGAGGAGGAAGAAAGGGCTGGAAATCTACTTCTGAAAATCAATCAATGCAAACCCTCTTGATCACAAATGATCCGGTCTACAACCAATCATGGGGTGGGTGTGGGATGGATTGTTTTGTTGTACTGGGGTCGTCATGATTCAGGGGACCAACTCAATGATAGCTAACAGTAAGAAGAGCCCTCCCAGGGGGGGTGGGCATGTCAGGCCCTCCTGCTGGTCCCCTCGGGGCACTCCAGGGCCCGGCTGGCTGCAGGTCACCATCACCCTCATGTCTCCCACCTGAGACAGCCTGCCTAGCTGAGAGCCACAGTGATACCCTGGGTGCATTCTGGTTGATGAAGACACTAGTGTGTACACACGGCTAGAGCAACTAGGGCAGTGAGTGCTGCTCAATCTGCCAATCACTTGAGTAGCCAAGTGCCTCCACCTTATTCTCTCCTCCCACCAGGCTGGAGGCCATGTTGTCTCCTCAATTTAAAGAACTCTAAGCCTCAGAAACCCAAGGAGGCGTGGCTATGAGTCAGGTCTGACTCGACGGCACATAACAACAAGCCAACGGGGGAAATAAAAAGCCTCCAAGAGGCAGAGAGATGAGATAGCCTTGCCTGAGGCCAGCCTGCCTAAAATTAGGAGAGATGCATTCAAACCAAACTGTCTGATTTGAACACTTGGTTAATTGGGGTGCTGTGTGCAACCCCAGGGACCAGGTCACCAAAGACAAGGAAGGGCTTGCAAGAGGAGATATGGTTGCAGGGTTGCAGGCAGCTGGGACACTTGAGGATGGGCCCAGAGTTAGGTGCGAGCTCCCAGCCAGAGCAAGGGGGACAGTGATGGGCAGGGAGGACAAGGATCGGCCCCAGGTGAGGGGGACTGGCTGCCCATCCGAATAAAGTCTAAGGGGAAGATGCGTCAGCCTTTCTGGTGAGGTCAGCACCCAGTGACGTCCCTCTTGCCACCAGGAAAAGCTTGCAACATGGCCCAGTCAGTATAAATAGTCTGTGACCGCAAGGCTGGGCTGTCCCCTCTTCCCTGGGCCACGTCAGCCAGGGCCCCGCGTGATCCATGAGAGGAAGAGGAGCATTTTGGTTCCTCAGAAGTCCTCTTTCCTTGCCTTTCCTTCCGGCCCACTCACCGACTGGAAGGTCCTTCCGTTTTAAATGCAAGGACAGAACTTGGGAGGCAGATCCAAAATGAAGGCAGGAAAGCCACTCTGTGAAGTGGAGGGGGCTCAGAGCTGCAAGAAGTGGCCCCAGCGTGCTACTTGGGAGGAAGGGGATCAAGCCAGTCCCAGTCTCGATCCCAGCATTCTTGGCCCAGTCACATCCATCCTCATGTGGAACCTCAGTTTCCCTTCTATAATATGTACTGACACAACCAACAGTAAAAAGACACGCAATTCAATTTAAAACTGGGCAAAGGACCCGAAGAGACATTTCAGTAAAGAAGATGTATAGAGAGCCAACGGTACATAGAAAGATGCTTATCATCACAGTCAAAAGGGAAACACATATCAAAACCACAGTGAGATTCCACCTCACACCCACTAGGATGGCTGTGCTCAAAAACCAAAACACAAAACCCACTGCCATCAACTCCCACAGGGTTCCCAAGGCTGTAAATCCTACTTCCTTACAGAAGCAGCTTGTCTCATCTTCCTCCCATGGAGCAGCTGGTAAGTTTGAACCACCCACGTTTTGGTTAGCAGCCAAATGCCTTACCCACTGCGCCATCAGAGCACCTTAGACAGATAGTAGTAAGTGTTGGCAAGGGTGTGGAGTACTTGGGACCTTGGTACATTGCTGGTAGCAATGTAAAATTGTGCAGCTGCTGTGTTGTTGTTAGTGGCTGTTGAGTCGGCTGTGAGTCATGACGACCTTTCACATAACAGAACAAAACGCTGCCTGCCCCGGGCCGTCTTCATGATCTTTGGTGTGTCTGAGCGTGTTGTCTGACTACTGTGTCAGTCCACCTCATGGAGGGTGTTTGGATTCTCTAGTGCCTCTCGAACAGAAAATACCCCAAGTGGACGGGTCTCGCAAACAGGATTTATCTGTTCTCTTACAGTTTAGGAGGCTGGAAGTCCAAGTTCAAAGTGTCAGCCCTAAGGGCTGGGTGAAAGCCCCTCGACCTTGGGCTTCAGCTCTGCCTCTCGCTCCTGGCCCTGGAGGCTTCTCTTAGCTCAGGCAGCTGCTGGCTGCTGAGGCTGACAGACCTAAGGTCAACAAGTAAAACAGCACAGTCCCAAGATTATCAGGCAACACAGCAGGCCACTAGTTCAAGTCCATTAACAGCCCCAAGATCAGCAGACAACCTGGCTGGCCGTTGAGATGGAGACTTGGCCAAATGGAGGACCCAGATGTGCCAAAAAGCTCAAGAACTTCCTCAAAGCTTCTTCTCATATACTGGAAGCAGGCCACATCCCTAAGGCAGCTACTCAACTGCTCCAGGAGATCCCATCATGGAGTTGATTACCAGTCTCATCATGGGGAATAAATACATCCAGCTGCCCAGCCACTCAACCAGGCCCAGCCAAGTTGACTAATAACTACCACAGAGGGTGTCCCTCATTTTTGCTGACCCTCTGTTTTACTAGGTGTCCCTGAGTAGTGCAAATAGTAGCAACCTCAACTGATAACTGAAAGGTTGGATGTTTGAGCCCACTCAGAGGGCCTCCAATGAGAGGCCTGTTGATCTACTCCCAACAAACCAGCCATTGAGAACTCTGAGCCCAGTTCTACTCTGGCTTACACGGGGTTTCCACAGAGGGCATGGGGGCAGCATCCTTGGACCTCTGTCCTCACGTGGGGAAAACAGAGTCACCCTCAGCAGCCCAAGACTGATTCCTATGAGGCCAGACCTGCTGCCACCCTCCAGCCTTTTACCAACTCTGGCACCAGCCATTCCTCCCACGGCACCCACTACTTCTCTGCTGGGTTCAATAATTC